GGTGCATAATTGCACAAAATGGCCCCAATTTAATCATCACAACCCACTGCAAAAAAGTATAGAAATTGAGAAAAAAAAATTAAAGAAGAGAAGGTGATAACCAAAAGGAATAGAATTCATGCGCAATAGGGCAGCTGATGATGGGCCATTGAGGAAAATTTGAAGTCAAATCTGAAATCCCATCACTCTTTTTATAGGAAAAGGCTTATTCATTGAAGGTGCTTTGCCAAAAAGCAGTTTTTCAACTATAAAGTGAGAGGAACGTTGAAAATTTTTTTTGCCCTTTTTTCAAATACATTAAATTTTCTATATTTCTGGCATTTCCAGCAAACAGGATTCTGATATAGTTTTTGGTCCCCCAAGGAATCAGCCTTCAGGATTTTGGTATAATTCTTTTTTTTTTTTTTTTCCTGTTTCTTCCCTTTAATAGCTCATTTTTTGTTTGGCCATGTCTGCCACAAACAAGTGCTAATTACTAATATCTTTTTTTTTTTTAATTATTTTTTGGGCATAATAATATAATTAATTAATGGCTTCTACCTAAGCATGCGATTAAGGTTAGTTAAAATGGTTTTGCTAATGACTATTTTTTATGGCAATTTTTAAAGTTGGTTAATATAATATTTATTGTAATAATTTTTAGTAAATGCAGTAATTAATAATTTTATTGATGATTTTGTATGCATTAAATGAAAATATTATTATATATAATAGCCTTAAATAGAGTTAGCAAAATTCTTCTCAAAATATGATTTAAAAAAAATTTACATTCAATAATCTATTTTCATTAAATAAAAAATAATATTGATTACACATTTTCTTTAACATATACTGTTCTTAATTAACCCATGAATTGGATTTCAAAAATCTATTTCTTTCCCACATAATTAAGTTAAAAAAGAGAGAAAAAAAAAAAACCAATACTAGTTATAAGAATATGCTATTTAACAAATAATAGGAGCATTAAAATTAAACATGGCCAACGTTTGATATTCAAATTTTCAAGAATTTAATTATTTTTTTATTAAAAAAAAAAGAAAAAAATTCTGCTTATTCATTGGTAAAAGGCATAGTTGATAGTTATTTGTCCCGCTTTACAGAAACACTTTAAGGATTCAAAAAAGATATAAATCTTATTGGGCTCTCTTCTGCCCTCCTTAAAAATTATTGAAAACTTACAAGTTACAATGACAGGCAGCATTTAAGAATCACATTCACCATCATCAATATTATTTTTCTTTTTTTTTTTTTCATTTTCCTTTTCTTAATTATCACTATTTTTTTTTTAAATATAGTTTGTGTTGTCTCAATATCTTGTGTGAGTTTAATTTTTTTGGAAAGATCTTAAAAATACATTATTTAGTATCGATTTAATTATAAATATTCATAATTCAATTTTAATTAAATGAATCGATTGAATTAATTTAATTCAGTTAATTAATTGATCATCAAATTATTTTAATCGATTAATGAAAATAATTTTAAAAGAATTTTTGTTTTCAATTAATTTTGTTTAAAACCCAAATTAATGAAGTTTTAACTAAAATATAATAAAATCTAAATATAAAATTTATTTTATAAATTGTTAAAATTTTTAACATAATACTTTGGTATTTGAATATTTTATTAAATAATTTTGTTTAGTTTGTTTAAAACATGAGAAATTAAGAGTTTAAAATATAATTTAACTTTAAATATATCTATTATTCTATTAATCAAAAAAATTAATCTAAACCAAATTCGATCAATTAATTTTTAAAATTACTAATTTTAGTTCGATTAATAAAAATAAAATAATATAATTTGATTAATTTAATTTTGAATCATTTTAATTAAAATTAATCGAATCAATTGAATGAATATATTTAAATTTAAAGCATTTAATAAGTTAAATTTTGAAATTAATAATTTTAATTTAATTAATAAAAATAAAATAAAATAATTTAATTTAAAATTAATCGCTAGAATAAATATCTCCAATATATAATATTTTATTTTCATAATCAATTTAACGGCTTTCTCACAAGTCAAAAATAGATATTAATGTACAAATTTTATATTATTATTTATGTATTAATTAATTAATGAAAAAGAAAGTGAGGATTCCAAAACTGAAGAGAGATCTTAAATGTTGGGTTTGTAAGATTCTTTCTCCTTTTCCTTTCATTTTCTTTTCCTTTTTTCGCTATCAGGATTTCTTTTCTGTGACTTTTTCAGTATTTTCATTATTAAATAATGGTGGGACAAGAATGTGTTTCTCTGTGCTAATTTCAGAGGGTATTGTAGCAAAAATATATGCGAAAATGACAGAGCCAGAGGCCCATTAAATAAAGAAAAAAAAAAGAAGGTTTTCATTTGTTTCTAATTTTAGTTCCATTGCTCTGTCAAAATTTTGTAGCAATATTTTTTTTCTTTTCCCTTTCATTTCATTGCCAATAATATGCCGACAGAGACCTTACATCTACCTAAAGTTTCTTACCCTTTTCCCTTTCACTTTCTTCCTCCCCAAACAAAAGAAAAAGATGCCCTCTTCCATAATTAAACGTAAATTGGCCAAATTCATTGTTTCTAGTCAGTGAAGTAATTTGGTCCCTTGATTATAATTAACTTTTTTAAAATCACTTTTGAGTTATAAGATTAAGGCTTTTTTTAATCTTCTAAAAGTGATAAAACTTTTTTTTTTAAAAGTGATAATTTAATTAATTATTTATTTATTTTTCACTCAATATATTTAATTTTTCTTGCAATAATTCACCTTGACTTAAAAAGGTTTAAAACTATGTTACTTAAGCCATAAAAAAAAAAAAAAACTATGGTAAATAAAATAAAATAATGTAAATTGTGATTAAAGGAGTTTTTTTTTTTGTCAAAAAAAAATTTAAGAGTAAAAGAAATTATTTATCTTCAAAATTAGGGTATTTCATCAATTCATAATGATACTGATGTATTTTTAAAAATTTTTTAAAGTTATAAAATCGTTTATTAATAAAAATTATAAAAATTTAAATTTAAATATTTTTTATTTAAATTTTAAATCTTGACTATTTGCGTTAACTGATTAAACGAGTCAACTATTAAGAAAAAGAGAGAGGTTTGAGCCGGGGGGTGTGGCGGTCGTATCTGGGGAGGAGACTATCGTATGGTATTTTAGGGAAAAAGAAACTTAAAAAGGGTTTGCAAAAGTGAACAAAGAAGGTAACAACAAAAACATACATCAAATCAAACACCTTTTAATCTCTCTTTTGAGTGCGTTGCATAGTTTTAAGAAAAAAAAGGGCAAAATAAAATAAACTTTGGCAGGGATATTAAGGTCATGTTTGGATAGGTCTCTTTAAGGCAAAATAAAATAAGCTTAAAAAATAGTAAACCTTCGGATATTGTCCCCTTTGGAAGCTTGATATGATCATAGGAAAACATGTGTTATAGTAGATTTGATGATTTGTGTATTTATATCATATAAAATATTAAAATTTATATATTTATATTATATTTTATTTGAAAATTTTATATTATAATTTGTGTTAATATAAAAATATAAAATATATATTTTTTAATTTTATTAAACTTATATATAATTATTATTAAAATTTTAAATTGTATTATTTTTATATTTTATATTTGTATTATATTTATATTATATTTTAAATTATCAAATTTAAATTATAATCTTTCATATCCAAACGTAACTTAATAAAAAGATGAGTTTTGGGTCACTCTCATATTCCAACGTGATGATGAATGGTATGTTTGTGGTGGTGGGTGTGGGGTTAATCTCTTCTTCCGTCACTTTCGACCTTTTTACAATTTGATCAATCTTCAATCGACCCCACCTCTTGTCTAACTTTTACACCATTAACAACTCAGTCCATTTGATTTCACTCAATAAATGTTTTTCTTGGGTTGAATTGTAAAATTGAAATAAAAATCTTTGATTCTTGATCTGTGTTTGGCAATGTTGATTATTGGGACCAATCACAAAGTAGAGAGACACAAGTATGAACTTATAAAAAATTTTGGTCTTTTCGAAATTATTCTTTTTTTTTTTAAATATTTTCAAGATAGATATGATGGATAATTTTATAAATATGTAATTTTACTTATATTTTAATTTTAAATAATATTTATTTGTAAACACTTGTAAAAAATATGAAGCATATTCAGATTTTTTCAATTTTTTATCATTCCAAACACACCATAATAATTATATAATATTATTATTTTTTAAGATAATTTGAAATGAAACGAAAGAATAATCATGCCCAAAGTATAATATTTAAAATACTACCACTAGTTTGCTTTTGGCAATGAGTTGGAAATTTTTGTTTGATTTGATTTGGATCGAGTTGAGTTAGATTCTGTACAACTCAATCAACTCATTTGTGTAGACCGATTCCCACACAGCAGCACTTACGAACAAGCAACGGACAGAAAAAGAAATTTATACGTAAGCAGAATGTGACGCTGACTTTGATTATTGGCCCCACCCCAACTCAATGGACACAGCATCTCCATTATAAAATACAACAAATTAGTGATTTTAACCAATAATTTTCTTTTTTTTTTTTTCATAAAATTATTAAGAACGTAGAAATTTTTATTAAAAATAATAGTGTAATCTAATTATAAAATATTAAAATTTTAATTCTAATGATACATAAAAAATCAATTAAATTATTGATAAAGTATTAAATTTATTATTTTAATGTTAAAGTTCTTAATTATTTCTTAAATCAATAAAAATATATATTTTTAATATAATTTAAAAAATATATTTTAAGCTATTAATTTTGCATCATAAATAAGAATATATACTCACCACCTATTCTTCCAAAGATCTTCCAGAATTAATGGACCCCACTGGCCACAACTTAAACAAACCACAGTTGCTCTTTCCTTTCCCTTCCCCAACACTGCAATAAATAATTTATTATATATTAACCACTTCCCCCTTTCCCATTGCATATCTGATATTATTATTTTCCTCAATAAAGAAAAAGAGGAGACTTTTTTTTTTCTTTTATAAAAAATCCCTCTCTTCTATTCTAAAATAAACAAATAAATATTATTTTATTAAAAAGGTTTCTGTTTTTTTATGATAGCCGGCGATGCCTACGCCGGTAAGTGTAGCGCGGCAATGCTTAACGCCGGAGGCAGCTCACGCGTTAGATGAGGCGGTGACCGTAGCGCGACGGAGGGGACACGCTCAGACGACGTCGCTCCACGCCGTCTCCGCTCTTTTATCTCTCCCTTCCTCCGCCCTACGCGACGCATGTGCCCGTGCTCGTAACGCGGCTTTCTCACCTCGCCTCCAATTCAAAGCCTTGGAGCTTTGCTTAAGCGTGTCACTCGACCGAGTCCCCTCGAGTCAACTCGGCAACGACCCGCCTGTCTCCAACTCGCTCATGGCCGCGATAAAGCGGTCTCAGGCGAACCAACGAAGACAACCCGAAAGTTTCCACCTTTACCGCGACATATCGCAGCAAAATCCTTCCAATATCTCGTGTGTCAAAGTCGAGCTCCAACACTTGATTTTATCGATCCTAGATGACCCTGTTGTTAGTCGGGTTTTCAGTGAAGCGGGTTTTCGGAGCTCCGAAATCAAGCTAGCCATCATCCGCCCCCTCCCTAATCTCTTAAGATACTCTCGACCACGTGGCCCACCGGTTTTCCTTTGCAATTTAGAAAATTCGGATCCAGGTTATGAAAACACCCGGGTTCAGGGTCGTCGGGGATTCAGTTTCCCGTTTTTGGGGTTTGCCTCTTTTTATGAAGGAGAAGGAAATTGTAAGAGAATAGGAGAAGTTTTGGCGCGAAGGAGGAATCCACTACTTGTCGGTGTATGTGCTTACGATGCACTCGCGAGTTTCACGGAAAATTTGGAGAAAAAAAATGATGGTTTTTTGGGTAAAGAAATATCAGGGTTAAATATAATTTGCATAGAAAAATATATTTTAAAGTGCATTAATGAAGGGTTTAACAAAGGCGAGGCGGATTTAAAATTTGAAGAAATGGGTCGGGTCATAGAGCGGGAAATGGGAGGATCCGGGGTGGTAGTGAATTATGGGGATTTGCAAATTTTTGTTAGTGACAAGTGTAAGGATGATGATGATAATGATGATGACAAGGCTGTTGATGAAGAAGATGGAGTTGGTTATCTGGTTGGACAGTTAACGAGGTTATTACAGGTTTATGGAGGGAAAGTGTGGGTGTTGGGAGCTGCAACAAGTTACCAAACATATTTGAAGTTTTTAAGCAGGTTTCCTTCAGTTGAAAAACACTGGGATTTGCAGATTTTGCCTATTACTTCTCTTAGGAATTCATTGCCTGAGTCTTACCCAAAGTCCAGGTATGGAAATTAAAAATTTATAATCTAGTTTGGATGGCATGTTTTTTTAATGTTGGCATGATATGTTTGGTTGTTTTTATTGTGGTTAAGTTACTGAACTACTTAGTTTTTGTCCAGGGAATTGTTTGTTTGACATATTAAGCTTTGGCATTTAGTTTCTTGCTGGGTTTTTGGTTAAAGAAAGGACTTGAGTGTTAAGGTTCTTGGATTTTGTGTTAGTTGAACTAATGGCAAAAAAAAAAAAAAAACACAAGTTGAATAATATGGTATTGCTTAAGGATTATAACCGACATAGGATCGTTTCTGCCTTTTTAATCATGAATTATGTCTAAAACATCCAAGTTAAGAAAAGGGAGAGGAAGAATAAAGCATTTCTTTTGGTTTTCTTGAACTTGAACCGTCTTAGTTCATAGTGTATTGCTCTTTGTTGTCTTCGATCTTTGGTGCACTAGTTAGTGGGATTATAAAAACAGGAAATTTTTAGAGTGACGAACTGATTAAAAGCTCATCCTAGGTTTCTTGTTCCATTCTAATCTCGATTCCCTGCATAACGTAATATTTCGTGTTTAAAGATTTTGCCTTGTTCATAACTCATAAGTCGAAACCTTTGCCAGAGTTGCACTGGTTGGGGTAATATCTTCACCATTGTGATTTAAAGTGAGTTTGCAACTCAAATTACTGGTAACATGTTGCCTGCGTTAACATTCATAAATTAAAAAAAAAAAAGAATAATAATAAACATAGAAAGAGTTTAAATCATTTAAAAGATATTAAGTTGTCTGCAATGGGTAATTTTCGTGCTTATAACAGGTGGTTGTTTGGTTAGAGCATGTTTATTGGATGAAACACCATATATAGGTCTAACTAGTAGGTCTTTTTATATTTTAAATTTATGTAAGGTGTCTAATGGTATATTAGTTTTGTTTATATACATCCATTCTTATCTGTTTTCATTCCTTTTGTTGTTATGCAGCATCACTTTTTCTCTCTTTTGCTTTTATCGAGTTCTCTTACCATGTGTAATGTGTTTTTACCGTCTTTGTATTAGCTCTGACCATTTCTCATATTTCATTGCCAAAATATAAATACAGCTTGATGGAGTCATTTGTTCCATTTGGTGGGTTCTTTTCTACACCTTCTGAGTTAAAGGGTTCTTTAAGCAGCTCATATCAACATGTTCCCCGCTGCCATCTATGCAATGAGAGGTGCGAACAAGAAGTAGTTGCAATTTCAAAGGGAGGATTCAATGTTTCAGTGGCAGATCAGTACCAATCTACACTGCCTCCTTGGTTGCAGATGACTGAGCTTTGTGCAAACAAGGGAGTAGATATGAAGGTGTGTGTCCGTTAGTTTATGCTTCTATTGCTTAATTTGTGCTTCTATTCATTAGTTTCAAATATCGAAATGGGGACCCTGAGTTTTAATGGAATTATCAGTTTCAACTTTTATCATTACACTAAAGATAGAAAATACACGAGTATATTGCTAACCAGATTCATTCTACTGTTATCTTAAAAGACGAAAAATTCACTTGCACCCACAGCCCATTGAAGGTAAGATTCAGGTACACCCTGCACTTATTCATATGCCAAGTAGCCCCAAATCGAGGTTGATGCCCTTGAAAATATTGATTGTCTAGTAATCTAGTTTAGAAAATTTGAAATAATTCGGGTGGCCTTTATTTCAAGAACATCTTCTGGAAACATAGAGTTATGCTGGTTTTTAATATTTGTAGTTCTCCAGATCCATCAAGTTTTTTGATAAAGGTCTTGTCACAATATTCATTTGGTGGTATAATGAAGGGTTTGCATGTTTTTTATTACTGTATCTAACCAATCCTGCCCTGTCCTTCCAAATCTCAATCAGTTTATTTTGGATAGGGTTGACGTTTCAAATAGCCCTTGAACTATAGTGAAATGTTCAACATGGTACCTGAACGATAAATTTGTTAACCAATATGATACTCACCCATAACGTGGTTAGTTTCAAATGCTGAAATGTGATGAACAAACAACCATTCGAGTATCACATTAGTTAATAGATTTATAATTCATGTATTACATTAAATATTTTTAAAGTTCTAGTACTATAATAAACATTTTACTATAGTTCAGAGACCATTTGTGACATTAACCCTTTTGGATATTTATGAAATTTATGTGAAAACCAGTTTGTCTCTCTTCAGTGCAGACCAAAGATGATGGAGGGTTATTAAACACTAAGGTAGCGGGACTACAAAAGAAGTGGGACAATATATGCCAGCGCCTTCATCACACTCATCCAGTTCCTGAGTCAAACACCTATCAAGCAAATCCTTCAGTCCCAACAGTTGTGGGCTTTCATTTCATCCAAGACAAGAAGGAAGATGCTCATGGTCATAGTAGCAACAACACAAATACACTACCCAATGAAAATAATTGCATAAATGTAAATTCATGCTCACCTGTTAATTTTCAAAAGATGTCTACATCGCAATTGGACAATCCTTCCTCTGCAGTATCCAAGACTAAGAATGGAAGTTTACTGTCCAAACTACAGGAAAAACCTTCCAAAGCAGGTGACTTTGAGGCAATTGAACCCATATCTCCTTGCAGTTTGTCCAATTCAAGTGTGGGTGATGGTAGTCAAACATCTCCTACATCTGTCACTTCTGTGACAACAGATTTAGGGTTGGGTTTATGCTCAGTTTCTTCAAGCAACAAATTGCTGAAACCTACAACTCAAAACCGTACAGGGCTTGCACAGGACTTTTCAGGTTGCCTTCCTGCAAACATTGATGTTATCAATGGGAGTGTCTCTGGCCATCCAGCTCAGTCCTCATCCTCTTCATCTACTGACTTTGGTGGACTGCTTGATCCAAGCAATTTCAAGAAGCTTTTTACAGCTGTCACTGAAAGAGTAGGCTGGCAAGATGAAGCTGCAAGTGTTATTTGCCAAACAGTAGCCAACAGCCGCGCAAGAAATGAAAAATGTCATGGAGCCAGTCGAAGAGGTGATATATGGTTGAATTTCAGTGGACCTGATAGATGTGGCAAAATGAAAATTGCTGTTGCTCTTGCAGACATAATATATGGAAGCAGAGAGAAATTCATCTGCATGGATCTAAGTGCCCAAGATGGGGTGACTCATAGACACTTGCTCTTTAATTGTCAGGAAGTGAATTATGATTTAAGGTTTCGAGGGAAGACTGTGGTTGATTATGTTGCTGAGGAGTTGAGCAAAAAGCCCTGGTCGGTTGTCTTCCTTGAAAATGTAGATAAAGCTGATATTCAGGTTCAAAGCTGCTTGTCTCAGGCTATCCAGATTGGCAAGTTTTCAGATTCACATGGAAGAGAAGTCAGCATCAACAATGCTATATTCGTGACAACTTCAACATTAACAAAGGAAAATCAAGTTGTTTGTCATAAAGCACAAACATCTAATTTTTCTGAGGATAAAATATTGAGAGCCAAGGGCTGGCCGCTGCAGATTTTGATCAAGCATCAAGATAACACAATTGGCCAAGACTTGAGGGTGCCTGTTACAACAAGAAAAAGCATTTCTAAGCAGGGTTTTTTGAATAAAAGAAAGCTAATCGGCTCTCATGATACAGTGGAGCAGCATGAGACCATGGAAATGGCCAAACGGGCTAATAGGACATCATCTTGGAATCTAGATTTGAACATTCCAGCTGAAGAAAGTGAAGTGCAGGAAACTGATGATGGAACTGTTGACAATGACACCATTGCTGAGAACCCCACGCCTTGGTTGCAAGATTTCTTTGGTCAACCTGTCAAAAATGTGGTTTTCAAACCATTTGATTTTGATGCACTTGCTGAGAAAGTATTGAATGATATAGACCAGAGTTTCCGTAAATTTATCCGCTCAGAGTGTTTGTTAGAGATAGACTCAAAAGTTATGGAACAACTACTAGCAGCTGCATACTTATCAGATGAGTATAGGGTGGTGACAGATTGGGTGGGACAAGTTCTTAGCAGGGGATTTGCAGAGGTTGAGAAGAAATACAACCTCAACACTCACTCCGTTGTGAAACTTGTTCCCGGTGAGGATCTTCCTTCTGTGAAAACACTAGGAGTTGGCCTTCCCCCCCAAATTATTCTGAAGTAATGTCTTTTCAAAAGCCTAATCTCAGTAGTTAGGTGCATAAGCATTTAGCATCTAGTGAATTATGTTTAGCTTCTTCATCCCATAATTTTTTGGGCTTCTTCTCTTCTCCCAGGTTACTAGGTTGTGTATTGTTACCATGTTAAATGTATAATCTGTAGTCAAGTGCCAGTGTGGTTCATGTCTTCACCACCAAAAGAAAAAAAAAAAAAAACAGTTGTAGTTGCTCAAATTTCTTGCTTGGTTTGTTTGAACATGGCTGCAGATCCTTGTTATAACTTTTGCCAAGGTCTGTGACTCTGTTATCTCAATGGATAGTATCAAGCAAACGGAAGCAATCTGCAATTATATTGTTCTGTTTATTTGTCATAAATTTGTGGTGAAAAATGAATAATTGGCGACAGATTCAAGTGTTCAGGCTTGTTGATTCGGTCATTTCACACTTCACATCTTTCTTTGTTCATGTTTGAGAAATGTAATGAGCTTTCTTTTTGTCTGCCATTGGCTGTGTCTGGTAGTAATTGTCATTGAAGCTATGAGCAGGTTTTAAACCTAGGTGATAAACTCAAACTGCAAACCGTACAAAATTATGTGATTGTTATCAATTGAGTGTACTATAAAATTGGAAGAAACAAAGAAATGTCCTTAAAAAACGAAATTTATCAGAAATCCAAAATTTTACACTTTTTAACTTTTATCATATTATTATTAATTCATAAAATTTCAAAATTCTCATAACACTAGAACTTTAACTAAGGAAGAATAATAATAATAACCTTTTCTATTCCAAAAATCAATGAAATCCCCCTATATATGCCCTATTACATTTCCTTTAATAACCAAACAGGGCCTTTTATTCTTTTAGGCCTAGACCAGACAGAGCCCTATTGTTTTTGTTTGGGCTGATGCCCAACAAGGCCGTGCAAATCTGCTAAAACACCGAACGGACAAATTTCCTTTCCGTTCTGTCTCTTGTGTCTTGTCTCTTTCCGTGCACCTGACCGTCCAAAAACTCTTTACTTTTTTTCTTTGAAACTATCGATTTCTCCAAAAACAAAATCTCTCTCTGTAAATAAAAACACTCTCTTTTTACACACACAAAATTTTAAAAAAAAGAATTGCATTTACAATTTATACTTATTTATTTGAAGAAAACATGGCTTCTTCTAGTCCTCGCACTGTCGAAGAGATCTTCAAAGACTATAGCGCTCGACACTCGGCTCTCGTTCGTGCTCTCACTTACGGTAAATATCCTCTTTTCTATAAACCCTAATTTTGTTCATTGAATTTATTATTTTGCTTTTATTCTTTTTTTTTTAATGTTTTCTTCTGGTTTGGGACTTTGGGTCAGATGAAGATGACTTCTACTCGCAATGCGATCCAGGTCAGTGTCTTTTTTTTTTCCCAGCTTTTCTATTCATGTTTGTTGGCTGAGAAAGTTGATGGGTGAACGGAGTGAGTTAAGTAGTCTCTAGGTGGTTAAATCGAATGCGGTTCGATTTTGAAGCTTATTGTTCTGTTTTTTCTTTGATTTCTCTTTCTTTGCATGCAATTTTTCCTTAATTCTTTCAACCTTAATTGTAAATTGCAAATGAGTTGTTTTTTAGTATAGGAAGTAGATACCAACGTTTTATCTTTTTGTTATAGGCCTTTGGATTGTCATTTTTATGTCAGCTGTTCAATTTATATGCGAATTTGTTTTCTTGTTCTCTTTGACACTGGGAAAAGATGAAAATTTAATTCATATCCGATGCCTTTTTTGCTTCTTTTAATTACCAAATTGAGTTCAGCATTATGTCCAAGTTGGGGTAGGCTATAGAATTTGTTATTTTGAGTGCAGCTTCTAGCTTTTTTCTGTTGTAGTATTTTAATTTGTTGCTGCACAGATAAGGAGAATTTGTGTTTGTATGGACATCCAAATGAGGCATGGGAGGTAGCTTTACCGGCAGAGGAAGTTCCACCAGAGCTCCCTGAGCCAGCCTTGGGTATTAATTTTGCAAGAGATGGGATGAATCGTAAAGATTGGCTTTCGCTGGTTGCTGTGCATAGTGATTGTTGGTTGCTCTCTGTGGCTTTCTATTTTGGCGCTCGACTTAACCGCAATGAAAGGTACGTTGTTCTAGCATCTATCTTTTGTCAACATGAATTGCAAATGTTTCCTATTGCATTGATATTGTCTTTATAATCTGTGCTCTGCTCTTTTGCGCTAAACAGTTATTTATCTTGACATAAAAGAAAGATGAGAAAGGAGACTGATGTGAGACTGAAATTTGAAAAATTAAGCATCAGTATACTAATGTTGATGTTTGATTACTTGATTTATATTGGCCACTCTTAGAAGTAATGTTCCCTTGTTGGGTGGTAATTATTCTATCAAGGTCGTTGTGGAAGAGCCTGGGGAGGTTGGGTCATTTGATGGAAATGGCCTAATACTTGCCTTATGGATTTGATACTTCGGTTTTTAAATTGGTAGGCTGTTGACTCCATATTGTTCCCTTGATATTTTGAGTTTATAAGACCCTAGTACTGTATAATTTCATGAAACCAGGAATATTGTTTTTTGGTGTTTTAAGTTCACCTAAATTTAGCTTGTTGATGATTCAGGATGTTTTAATCCTAATCTTAGCTCTCCCCAGTTAATGATTCAGGTTCTGCCTGTTGTACTAGATCTGGTTTTGCTGTTTCTTTCGGTAAAGCTGTTTTTTGCAGTTTCATAGGTTTCGCGTTAGGCCAGCAAAATAAAATATTGATGGAAGAGACTTGTGACAAGTGACAACTCTTTCAATTGTAGATGTTTATTACATATTGCAGTATATAAATAAAGGCCAAGTTCAACCAGCACTTTGCATCTTAAAGCTACATACTTGAGAATCCCTGTTTTCACCATTTGGGCCTTAAGAAATTGGTAATCCCCTGTTCTACTTGTGCTGGACAACTTTGACATGCATACATACTTTAACAAGCATGCACCTGGAAGGATTACTTTCTTGTGTAAGCGTGTGTTTCAGTTGTAGAATACACGATGCGCTTTTTCCAGTGTTATTTTATTCACTTTTCCTTTTAGAAAAGGGGTTGTTTAGGTAAGAACACGATGGACCCAGTTCCGGCTACTGCATTGTTAGTTCCTATGACGTCAACCTTCTGCACACACACTCTCTCTCTCTCTCTCTCTCTCATCGGAATTTTTTGTGACAGGACTATAAAATCATGAGTTTTGTGTCTTTCACTCAACAGGAAGCGTTTATTTAGCATGATAAATGATGTACCCACTGTCTTTGAAGTTGTAACTGGAAGAAAGCCTGTGAAAGACAAACCCACAGCGGAAAGCGGAAGCAAATCACGAAACAGCACAAAGGTGAATTTAAGTAGCCCTCCATCCATGAGAATGATGAAAGCAATTCAAACTGTTAGATGTGAACTTTGTATCATCATCGTTCTTTCACTTGCATGGTTTGGTATTTATTATTTGCCTAAAACCTTTCAGAGATCAATTGACGGACAGCTAAGAAGCAATCCTAAGTTAGCTGATGAAAGTTACGAGGAGGATGAAGAAGAGCAGGGTGATACCTTTTGTGGGACCTGTGGGGGAGGATACAACTCTGATGAGTTTTGGATTGGTTGTGACAACTGCGAACAATGGTACCATGGAAAGTGTGTAAAGATAACACCAGCAAAGGCAGAAATAATTAAGTTTTACAAATGTCCTTCATGCCAAAAAAAGGTGAGGCAGTAGCAACCGATGGAGGGACTGACCTGATCAGTTTAATTCACTGATGTTGTCGTAAAGCAGCTATAGCAAACGCATAAATCTGTTGGTACCGGAAAATCCTTCTTTAAATCGCAAGCCTTCTTTAGGTACATGTAGTGGCATACAAATGGATGATGCATGTGCATTTGTGTAGATTAATACTTTTTAACTTGTTATCTTGTTCAGCTGCAGTGAATGCAGTTTTCCAGTTTTCGAAGTTTGGAATCATGTGGATACTTAGTTGCTCTTAAGTCCTAATGGCTGATCAGGTACCTAATGGATTTAGGTTTTATGTTCAAGAAAGATCTATCCTGTTAAGTTGATACCTTTTCTTTGCCCTTGCTGAAATTTCCACTTCCTTTCAATCATGTGCTTATGTTCTTCTGTCTTGGTATAGAATAACATGCTGTTCATCAATTTTCCTCTGATCTCCAAGTTTCTTTTCTTCTTTCAATCATGCCGATTGAGTTGAGTTGATACATTGATAGACTTGAGTTCGGCTCGATTCGAAAACTCGAGCTTGACTGTAGTTCAATTGGATTTTATTTTTTATGGTCAAGCTCGGCTTGATAGACTCAAGTTTATCACAAATACGAGTATTAAACATTATATTTTCTCTATTTACTTATATATACATATTTTATATATATATATATATAACAAAAGCTCGATTAAACTCACTAATCTCTCAAATCGCGAGACTTTCTTATTATATTATACTACTACTATTTTTTTTTAATTACTGTAGTGGAAGGTTCTTTGTTTTTTTTCCCATTTTTTTATGTTTTCCAGAATTTTTAAAAAACATGTTTTTCGAATGCCTCACGGCCGCCGGGAAAGTAACGGCACTCGCTTAGCCACTCCTCACAAGTTTTAGATTTGTGGATTTTTTTTAAAAGGAAATTCTCTTAGAATCACCTGATGTCAACAATGACGCAACATTTTATTGTTTGTATTTGTAAAAATTTTGTTTAATTTATTCATTGACTTTAATTATGAAACTTAAAAACTTTAGGTTGATGTATCATTCATGTAAACTCTATAATTGATGTATAAAATAATTATATCTGGTAAAAGTGATTTGATCTTGAAAAATCAACTTAAACATGAAATCATTTAAATATGAATTAATTGAATATAAAATATACAAATCCAAATCATATGATTGACTAATACGAAATGAGTGGATATTAAATTGATTTGATTTTAAGATTTAATAATTTAAATTTTAATAATTTTAAATTAAATAAATTAAGCCTCGAACATGAAAATTTTTAATCTAAAATTATTCAAATCAAAAAATAATTTAGATTCAAAATCAGTAAATTTCCTTTAAAATCCAAAGTGATCCAACTCAAATCCGAGTCAACTTGCATGATAGTTGCCTCTAAAGGAATGAAATTATTATGTTGCCGATACTGTATAAAAGGAGGCGTAATAAGTTGGAGCCATAGCCATGGTCGGTGTCTTGAGTGGTCCTGTGCAGCTAATAAAATAATGTGCTGAGCAAGAACCCACAACGTCTCACTCAAATCCAAGCAAGAAAGTTTATCAACATTCTTAAAAAAAGAAATTTTATTAAACTTAGTTTTTTTTCATTTTATTTCTTTAATCATTTATAATTTTTTTTTTTCTTATGAAGAGAAAGCATCATTCTGTAAGTGAAAAAAGGAAAGCTTCTTTATTATTTAATTTTTTATTTGCATGTTTTGATTTATTAATAAAATAACTTTTTCAGTTTTTATTAATAACTTAAAATTTTAACATACAACAAATTATTATTATCTTTTTCGAATAATTCTAATATATGTTTTTTTATTAATGTGGGTCATTTAAAATTTTATTTTAAAATATTTTTAAAATATATATCGCTTTTTTTTTATGCACGTGAGTATTGACTAGGCTCAATTTGTGCTAGCCTACGTAAGCCTGTTCCCAAACAGAGGGCATTTGGCCCACCTAGAGGCACGAAGTCATTGTTTGACAACGCAAGCGCTTTCGTCCACTAATTTTTTTTAATTAATTTCCTTTCATTTCCAATAAATATCAACCATAAATCCTCTTTTGATGTCCAAAATGTCAAAAAAACGTTTTTTCCTTCTCAGAAATCATTTCAATTTAGACGTCAACAAATTTGACTCACCATCAAAGTTAATTATAGGATATGAGAAGTGAAATTCGTAGGGAAAAAAAAATTATATGTTACATCGCAGAGTTACATTATGGGAGAGGTCATTTGTAGATAAAAATTAAATATTATATCATAAAAATTATTAAATATTATATGATAAGAGTTATATTTAAAATTTTAATATCTAATGTGATTTTAGTATTGTAATTGTACTTAATCTAATAAAAACGTCAAGTTTTAAAAATACAAAAATTGTGATATGTCTAATCTTACATTAGAAGAATATATAGATTTAATATGATAAATATATCTAAACTTAAATTTATGAAGTATTTTTTGTGAGATAAAATCATAAAATTTTTATGTTAAAGCCAATAATATTTGATAAGTTGTTGGATGCAGGTCTCCACATCTTCACCATCTAAATTTACCTTCACAAAAATATTAAGCAACAGAAAATATAGAGAACACTAATAATATACATGGTTCAACATTGCATCTATGGACACTATAAAAAAAATAATCACTATCAAAGAACGGAGATTACAATGGCTATACTAGCCCAAAACATGCATTATTTCAATAAGCACTCACTCCCTAAGATTATACATGTGGTTCTCATTATCTTAAGATAGACACTACAAACCTCAAAATATATCATCATTTTTGAACTACATGGCACACCTCTTTTGACACTGTTTTAGTGTTTTCACCATGCTTTTTAAGCCATTTTTAGGTGCCTCAAACACATTTCAACTTTTACACCTTCAGCCTATTTATAGGCAAAATTTTTTTGTTTACCATAATAATTTATTGTCATGTCGCAATTTATGACTACTGTAGTAACAACGGTATTGTGGCATGTGGTGCACATGTCAAAAGTTACTGTGCCAATTTTTTCACAGAATTCTAGATGATATCTTTCCAACTTTTCGACGGTATTATAGTAGGTGGCAGTATTGTAGTAGGTGGCAATATTGTAGCACAAGTCAAAAAATACATGTTTCACATTTGCTTAAAATTTCTAGTCATTTCTCAATAATCTTTACCTTGATTTGAAAACTTTTACCAAGCTAATTTCTTTGAGATAATTTTTTTTTATCATAAAAAAAATATAAAGATATCTCATTACCACACACTATCATGTGCTCTACCTTTTTGTTAACACTTAGTCTAACTATGCAAACAACTCTTAAACTACCCTATTAATCCTACACCATCTCATCACATCATCCTCTGGCCATCGAAGGATTTAACATTGTACCTTCTGATACCTAATGTGTACTCATGAGCTTTATCGTTTCAACTATCAAGCTTACCATCATTGTTTGAACCAAAAAACCATAACGATGTTTATAAAGACTTAGACCAATCTTTGGAGTTTCAATAAACCTTGCATTAGATGGTAGACCAACCAATAAGATAGCAAAAAACAAGTAGTTTCTACTCTATTACGTACCAAAAAATCATCAAGAGTAAAATTAACATGGCATATTTTTGTTCTAACTAGACAAAAAGCATTCCATTTTGCAACCATTATGTTACACCAATGTTTTGCCTACAGTGTGATTTTTCACAACATAATTCATGAAGAATTTTTGTCCCACCTTTCTCTAGACAAACCATTGACTTAGTGCACAATTGGTAATCTTACTACCAAATCCAAAAATTGTCTAAAGGCATGGAATGAAAGCATTCTTATTGTAAAATAATTAAATACTTGTTTAATAAATTATCTTGTCATAAACCTCCACAAATGTAATATGAGAGGAACATACATAACTTGAACTCACCATGTTTTCATGACTAGTAAGATCAAACATTAACTATCATGAATCACCGATATGAGTTTCACATGACATAGCCATATATGATGTTTCATCAAGTTAACTCTACCTCAAACAACATCATCAAAACTAGTTTAAAAGATGATTGTCATCGTATTGTTTGGTTCATGTAATCTTCATTCTCTCTTTTATTGCAGACACCATTTATTGGATACAAACCTCTCTTTATCTTAATTTAGACTTTGTTGCTAACATCTTGTCTCATGCAAAAGAACCTCCAAATGCACCAAAGGAACGTTCGGACTTTAATACCAATTATTAGGAATCAAGACATGCTTCAATCCCATTTTGTCAAGAATCAGCATAGCTTGACGCCATTTATAGCTAGAAGAATCCAAAGTGCGAAACAACCATTCTTTGTATACATTAATTGTACCATATACGTGAATAGTGATAGATTCTTTACCATCTGAATCTACCTTCACAAATATATTAAACAACAACAGAAAATATAGAGAACATTAACAATATACGTGGTTCGATATTATGCCTACATACACGGGCACCACGAAAAAAATCACTATCAAATAATAGAGATTAAAATGGCTACATTAGCCCCAAACATGCACCATTTCAACAAGCATTCATTCCCTAGGATTATACAAGTGTTTTCCATTATCCTAAGATAGACATTACAAACCCCTAAATATACCACTACTCTTGAATTGCATGGCACACCTCTTTTGATACTTCTTTAGTGTTCTCACTAGGCTTTTTAAGTCATTTTTAGACACCTCAAGCATATTTTAGTTTATGCACCTTCAGCCTATTGATAGGTAAAATTTTTTGTGTTTACTATAGTAGTCCATGGTTACTATAGCACCAGTGGTATTGTAGCATATGGTGCATATGTCAAAAGTTACTATATCGAATTTTTCACAGAATTTTAGATGTTCTGTCTTTTCAACTTTTTGGCAGTACTGTAGCACAAGTTAAAAAAATACATATTTTACATTTGTTAGAATTTTTTAGTCATTTCTCAATAGTTGTTAGGCAAAAAAGTTCCTAATCAACTCAATTTAAACAAATACATATTCATATGCACCCATACATCATACTTATATAGATCCTCTCATTCTTTTTTAGGCCACTCAAACATATACACCATAAAAACTCTATCAATCTTCTTTAGTCTTATAAAATGTCTACCCAATAAAACCCTATAACTTTCTTACATCTTTTTCTTATACCTAAGTTTGTGAAGACTCCCATAATTTATAATTAAGCATACGAACTTATTTATCAAGAATTATTTTTCTCTTAAAATTCTTCTTTTGCAAATTTTTTTATCCATCATTTAATATCCAATCAATTTCAAGCAAATCTCTTATAAGATTTAAATCATCATTTCTAGCATAATGATCATGCAAAATAGCAATTAAACTCAAATTTTGTGAAGCTTTACACTCGTAGAGTTTATGTTTTTGAAAGTGGGATAAGATGTGTAAAGGAATAAGAAATACCATGCATGTGTTATATATTTTGATTTCATTAACTCAATAACTAAAGAGTATAAAACATCATTATGAAAATTTTTAAAATAAATAAATAAATAAAAACTAGAAAGAGACAAAGAGAACATAGTGCTTTATTTCTTTTTTTCGTTTAGTTACAAAGAATTATGATACAAATTAAAACCTTGGAGAGTCCACTCAGCCAAATGAGCAATATCCTTGAAATCTACAGAATCATAATATAAAAATCAAAGTAGAAATTTTGCCTCTAAACCAAATCATGCAGTACCTTTAAAGCAATTGATTAAAGTACCCGTTTAAAACAATCTCTTCTTTTAAAAAAAAAAAAAAAATTGTGTTTGATAAAGATACAAATATATATATATATATATATTTACTTGTCGTTTTCCTCTCTTGAAGCATACCAACTTGTGTTTAATGGAATTTAAAAAATTAAGAAAAAGAAGAAAAAAAGACTAAAAACAAATTGTCAAAGATGATAAAAAACTCATTCCTGCATGGATTTTATGAAAAGTTAAATGCCCACCAAATGTTGCTTCATTATCAATTCAAACAACCATTCAAACCACCTAACTATCCAAAAATGATGTAAACCCTAAATTATTTAAAGCTTAAAATCTTAAAAAATTAGAACATGCGTGAACTCCTTTCCATTATAAGGCAATTATATTAATTTTCTTTAGAATTTAATAATTAAAAATATCACCAAAAGGGTCCACAATCATAATAATTAGGCATGTGTTCATATTTTACACAATTAAATTAATATTACTATGAGAAGGACCTTAATTTATAGTTGACACTGCTGACTTTCATCAATGGTTGTTAAATTGATAAATAAAAAATTAACATCTAATCGATCATGAAATGGAGAAAACAAATATGACTAGTTCGTTCATATATATATATATATATATATATATGTGTGTGTGTGTGTGTGTGCAATATTTTTCTAATTTTAGTGGGAGATAAAGGTTTAAATGACATGAATAGGGTAAGTGAAACCAAGAAAAGTAGCTCTAAAACCTTAATTACATTTGAATTGAACAAAAGGCAAAACTTTTTTCTTTTTGGAGTCAAATTAAGGGTCATAAAGCTCTATTTGAATGAATGGTGAGATTAAAAATAATAATAATAATTACTATAACTAAGATTGAAAAAAAAATTATTGTAATTACGAGTGAAAAAAAATTCAATTAAAAATTTATATTTAATGGATCTCATTGGAGTTAGTATTTGAAGTTAACTAATGATGAGATGAATTTAATCATAATACATCGGAGATGCGGTTGAATCCAAACAGGCACTAAAGAATGACCAAAAGTGAATATAATCATATAGTATATTTAATTTATATGGTTCTAACTTCTAAATAGTTGTAAATTATGTTGCCAACAATCATATAATCAGTTGACAAAGTTATAATTATGTTATAATTATAAAAAAATAAAAAAATTTATATAATTATATATTTAAGTAGATAAAAATTGGCTTTCTTTTCCTTTTCTATTTTTTTTTAAGAGAGTGGATCAGTGGATGGTACTCCTTGATGAAGAGACAAATAGATGCTAATATTGAAAAAAAAAAAGGATTTTTCAAGGTGGTTATACAAAATATTCACATTTATAAAATAAGAATTCAGATTTAATTTAGTGTTTATTACCACTCAAATAAAAGGTCCAAATCTTTGAAAAAAAATTCCTGTCTTTATATGCGACTTTTTATTATTATTATTATTTTTTTGGAGATAGTCTTTATATGCGACTTAATGTTAGCATATTTAACATGTGATAATTCCGGAGCTTCTAGATTATACATCTATATTTATTAATTTATTTATTTATATTTATATTATAGTTGATATGGTCCCATTAAAATGGACATTTTTGTATTTTTCACAAAGTTTTTTACTAATTATTTGGTTGTAAAGTCTTACACATTTATATAATAATAATTTTTACGGGACCGACATTAGAATTATTTTTAAATATAGTGTATGTTTTTTTAAAGAAAAAAACTCTAAATATGAATATTGAGATAGATAAAATTAAGAAAACGTTAAATGTAAATCTTAGGCCTATAGTTATAAATCATCAATTAAAAACGTGCAATTCTGTTGAAGGAAAGTGACAATTATTTAAAATTAAGCTCCTCAATCAACGATGGAAGTGGTGGGACAAAGTTTGGTCATCTGATATAATTCCAAAATTTTCAATCAATTTCAAGGGCCCTAAAAAAAAGTTTCCCAATTCTACAATTTCAAATTAATCAATTTTCTTTTCCTTTTATTTCTTTCAATTTTGCTTTTTTTTTTAATATACAAAAGATAAATTACAAAATTTACAAATAATAACTAAAAAAAGGAATTATTTGGCCCTGTGATTTACGGTGAATTGAAATTCTAAAAAAAAAAAAAAAAGTCTCAATCATCTCGGAGACTTTAGGGATTCAACTTGGGATTTGCCTTTGGGACCTTTTAGTCTGATGAACAGTCGATATTCATCAAATGTCATTGGCGAATACAATGCAGGTTTGTCTGTTGAAACCAGCTCTTCCACCGGCTTGATTGGTATATCACTCTTTGGATTGTAGAAGAAGGCCAATGATATTCTTTCTATATTTGAATTTACTATCACTCTATGCTCTACACTCTTGTAATTTGCATTGCTAAGTACCTGATGCAATTGTAAAACAAAACAAAAAGAAACATTTTAACATATTTGAGCTCGTTAAAAATTAAATCATCATCAATGAAATTAAAAATTCAATGATCTATTAATAGATTATTCGACTATCGATAATATTTTAGCATGTTTATCAAGCAAATTCCTTGCATAATAATTAAGGTGATGATGGCAAAGTTTTCTTTTTCTTTTGTTTTAAAATTTGAATGGATTAAGTCAAAAAAAGGATGGAGAAATGGAATATTCTTACACTTCAATGATTCATTAGAGAAAATAACAACTACTATTAGATTGAGTTTGAATTGTTATATTAATTTTTTTTTTTTTGGGTGGTATCGTGAAGTAGATTTCGGATAATATTTCTAAGTCTCTAATTCATTCCTAATTTTATTTCTCATTATATTATTGAAATCATAAAATCAGCAAATTTTATTGAAATCATATAATCAGCAAAATGTAAATTGAGCAATTAATACATCAAGATCAAGTTTCTAAAAGTAAAATTTATCACGTGATAGAATTTATAAAGAATAAATAGAAAGTGAAAAAAAATGCAAATATCAATGTGCTTAGTTTATCATACAAATGATAAGTGAAAAAACTTCTTGTTGGGTGCAAGGTCATGTCATTGTCAATCTAAGCTTAGCTTTCCATTGTTGAATTATTGTTGATAACATTAAACATTGCTTGAACAATTGGGTGTTTTAGAAAGTTACAAGAGGAAAATGGCAAACAAAACAAAAGTGAGATGTAATACTTTTCTAATATGTCGACATGGAAGATCAACAGTGAATCGAATGGTATCGGAGATTCAAAGTGTGTCATTCCATTCCAATCGTCTTATCTCATAACTTTAAAATCGTAGTGTTTATCCACTTTGTCCATCTTTAAAAAATTGTGTTTTATAATTTTTCGAGAAGCTTAATTGTATAACACTAGATGGTCAATTTAAAAAATAATTTAGCATTTAGTTTATTAGTTAGTGCGTAATGCCTTATTCAAAAGAACAAAGTTCGAACTCTTTTTCCCAGAAAAAAAGGGACAACTTTCTATCTTGATATCTTGACTAAATTAAGTTAAATGTGTGGTTCATTAGTCTATCAAAAACATGACCCCCATGTGCCATAGAATTTCCAGTTTATTTGGATAATCCAGGGAGAGAAAAATTCACCTGAATTTGATCACCGATGTTGACTATAAACGCGTGCTGGGCAGGCTTCACAGTGATCCACCGACCATCTTTCCGAACCTGAAGACCAGGGACTTCATGGTCTGGTAAGAGAATTGTCAAGCCACCAGGGTCCGAGTGGGATGACAAACCCAGAGCCAGATCAGGCTGTGGACACTTTGGATAAAAGTTCACCCTTAAACATGCCCCAAACTTTTCCCCACCAAATGCATTTTGAAGTTGGTCCTCTCTCAATCCAAGGTTTATTGACAAAACCTTCATTATTCTCCCACACAACTTCACCAATTCCTTCCCATATTCGTCAATTACTTCCCTACATTCATAGAATGATCAATCTTAATTTGAATAAACTTAAGAAGATCATACTAATTAAGCTAGGTAAAATCCAAATTTATGGTTGATTTCATAATTATGAGAAGCGAATAAAGGTATGGGACATTATAGACAGTTGACTAAGAAGTGAGAGAGTACTATGCACGACAAATTAGCATAGTACAGGCGTTGAATAAGCCAAATCAAAAATTTGTACTGCATCCAAAATATAACCAAATGCTACGGTGAAGAACTAGTTAAATTCTTAGTTCGAGTGATCAAAATTTAATTTATTATACTTTTAAATAAAAAAAAAAAAACTAATAGAATCAAAGAAATTTTAGTCTAATTGTTACCTGCAAGAATCTGGAGAGGCAGGCCACTTGTTATAGTCTTTGAGAGTTAATGGAAGATAGTGAAGAAAGTAGTAATCACTCCAATCAAGAATGGCACCTTTTTCAATTCCTAATCTGCTACCATAGCCTTCATAAGTCTTGGGGGAGTTAGCATAAGCTTGCTTAATCTCCATAGGTAAATGGAAAAAACTTCTCCAAGTTTCACGTGCTTGGTCCATTAATCCAGGGCTAACTCCATGGTTAACGACCTGGAAAAATCCCCACCCTCGACAGGCCATAGAAATTTGATCAATTGTTGTTTGAGGAAGATGGTTTTCGTCATCGGATAAGCCTGTAAGATCAATTATTGGAATATTGACATCACTGTTTCCAGGGGGGTTTAAGGAAGGTCTATCGGAAGGTGCCTTGATATATCTGTCTGGAATGATTGGTAGGCCACTTTCGGATAAGGATTGGACTCGGATTATTGGTTCAGGCCAGTCATGTAAATTGTTCATGATGAGCAAAAACAAAAAAACGCTGTCCCTGTAACAAAAAAGTACGATGAAACAAAGCAAAGTCCTTACTCTTTAGACTTTCATAACAATAAGTTGAGAGACAAATAGAGAAAAGAAAGAAAGAGAGATGGGTCTGAGAGGGGGAGTCTTGAGGAGTGGTAGTTAAGGGGGTATGGGGGATAAGTATGCAAATGGAGAGCATTGATATAGACTGAAAGAGAACGTGAAAGAAATGGCTTTTTTTTTTTTAAAGAAAAAAAAAGTGACTTCTTGTTGTGGGGACTGACTACTTGTTAAGTAGTGAAAGAGAATATGGTCTTTTCCTACTTTTAATCACAAAGTTTTTTATCGCACAAAATTATCTCTTTCGTCATTAAAATTTTTTAATAAATTAAAAAATTATAATGTACCCTTTCTAAGATATATTAAAATAATATTTTAATTCTAAAATTTAAAAATTTTATCAACGAAACCGAGCTATTTATATCAGTATATTTATGTTATATAAGTTTGAGCAATGTAATTCATAGGTGGGATTTCTCTCTCCATGTGCTTGGTCAGTGCCTTTTGGGCATGTTGATATCTTTTGAAACTTGACAGGCAAATGTAGAAGATAACACACACATTTCCATCTTCAAAATCAATTCATTCACTGATAAATATACACTTGGCTATGACCCCATGAGGCCATGAGAGCGATTGTGTTCCCATTCGGCGCCGTGATCAACTTGAATCATCTGCCCCCACATTTTTTTTTCTTTTGATGAAACCATCTGCTCCCCACACTTTTCTTCCTTTTCATCATCTCTATTAATTCCACAAAAATATTGCTAAGATTTGTACCAATATTGATTAATTAATCACCATTAATAACCTTTCAAATTTGGTTTTATACTGCTAAAATCAGATCAAAGGCTTCAAATTTTAGATTTTGTTAACGAGCATGTCTTACGATATTTTTAAAATTATTATATTAAGTAATATTCTTTCCGATGCATTGAGAATCAACATATTAACTAGTAATTATTATATTTAATGAAAGAATATATTATAAATGAAATATTAATCTTAAAGATTGTTCTTAAAATATTAGTTAACAAAATCTTTGAACTTTTGGCTAGCGTTTAATATGAAAGGTTGCATTGCATCCCTACAATTGTTGATATTGCGGCTAATAATTTGGGCTCCATATAAAAGAAAAGGCTGTACGAACCATACAAAATGTGAAAATCACTAGACCTGGCTATATCTAGAAATGAAGATCTTGGTTTTTCTTTGGTCCCAACAGGAGAGCTCATGTTTCACGAAACTCCCTCAAAATCTCTCTTCAACTTGGCCATGTTCTTGCTAGTTGGTTTGTTTGGGACCCCATAAAAGTGAATTGCAAAAAATTATTAGGAGATGTGGGGAAACTTCCTTTTTGTTTTTTTGTTTTTTTTTTCTGAACTATAGTCTCTAGTTGGATTCAGAGTCCTGGAGCACCGTCATCTGATCAGGTCCACATTTTGGCTCACTCTATTTAAGTTTTTCATGTGTGTCATGACACTGACGACGCAAATTTGGAGGAAAAGAAAAGAAAGTGCCCACACATCTTAATTTGACAGATTAACTTGACAGTATTTGACAGACGGACAAGAGCTTATTGACTAATTAATGGCTATCATTTTGTCAGTAACTTGACAGTACAGTAACTTGAATGCAGATTTTTTTGGCAACTTAGCCATGGATTGAATGCAGGTTAATTAATTTTCTGTCTTTGAGAGGATGTAATTTATGTAAAAAAAAAAAAAAAAACCTAGTTAAAGACAAAATATGAAGACCGAACTTGAAAATCGTGAATTTCTAGATGGTGTTATTTAATAAATCAAAAAGTATTATGAAAATCATATATAGAAATTGCAATCAAATAATAGTTTCATTTTCAAAGAATCAAGAAATTTTTTTTTTTTTTTGTAATTAAGTCGGTAAAGAGAGTCTACCAATAAAATATAAATTTTATTGCCGTTTACAAAAAAAATAAAGAAAGTTTTGAAATTTTTGCTTAAAAAATTAATTAATGAGGATTTCAATAACACAAAATTATAGAAATGCGATTAATGTGAATTGTTTTCAGTCAATTTCATTGAAGGAGAGAGAGCTCCACATCTCCAAATTAATTAAAGTTTAATTATATTAAGCAAACATGCGAATAATATCCATGGTATTTAATTTAAAAGATAAACTATATATTCATTTAATTATACGTTTGCTTAGCTTAAAAGTGATTCAAAATAAGGTTGTTAGATTTTTTTTTTTTATACTTGAAATTATAAAAAATTGAACCTTAGTTATTAGAGTTAACAATTCAACACTCAACAAACAAATATATAAAATTCCCCTCTACATAACAAGGCAGAAAAAAAAAAAAGAATTATTTCCCTACTTAATTATATACTACTATATATTTCCTTAAAATAGGTTATATTTCTTTAATTTCCTCTTCTCATAAAAAAACCTTTTAAAGAGGGATAATTTATTAGGGTTTGAATTTTTTTTTTATTTATATTGTGGTTTTTAGTCATGCTAGCATCGTATTAAAAATTATAAAAAATAACCATTAAATATTATAATACTATAAATTAGCATATTCTTACCCATCAATTAAGTAGTATATATTATGAACTTATATTTGATATATTGTTAATGAATAAATTTTATAATTATTTGTAAATCAAATTATACAACTTCATTAATGAGCAAATATCTGTCCTTAAATAAATATATAAAAAAATTTAATATTTTTTTAAAAATTTTATTTATGAGGTAATATCATTTGATTCATCTCATTAACGAAGTAATATTATCCGATTCACTGACAATTTGTAGAATCTATACTCATATATTATTTAGTATGGAAACAGGTTAAAATACTAAAAAATTCTTAAACTTTGTCACTTTATTTAGATAATCTTTTATATTTTTATTACATCCAAATAAGCTTTTATACTTTGATTTGTATCTAAATAAACCCTTATTTCAAAATAACTACTTTAATTTTTAAGTTCTCTTTAATCATCTAAAAATTGAATTTTTATATAACTAAAGGTTTTACTTTAAGCTAACTTTTTATATAAATAAACCGATGTCTTGTGTGTGTTATGTATTATATTAAGGGTTTATTTAAATATAAATTAAAAGTTAAAAATTTATTTGTATACAAATTAAAGATTAAGGATATATTTAAGTATAAATTAAAGGTTGAGAGCCTTTTTTAGGTACAATAAAAATATACAGATTTATCTAAAGAAAATGATAAAATTCAAAGACATTTTTATTATTTTTGCCATGGGAATACTGATATTGGTGGTTGAGAGAGTTAATTTAGAGTTTAGACAGATACCCAAACCCCTAAAATTTTTCCATTTTTCATGGATTTGAATCTCATTAATTGGTCTTTGAATAACATTGGATTGATTCTTTAAGTTTTTTTCCCTTTTAGGAAAGTGCATAGTCCAAAAACTCTTTCCAAAAAAAAGGTCATAACTCAAGTGGTTGAGGGGAGTGAAGATTTTGGTAGATTTATGCCATATGTTCAATTCTTTACTGAGAAGTACTATCCTTCTAATTGCATTTAAATGAACTTAATATTTTATAATAAGGCATGCATATATATATATATATATATTAAATGCGAATTAATGAAGATGGGATCAAATCTTTATTACCTTTACTTCACATATAAGATTATCTCTCATTTTGTAATTAACTTAACATAGACAACAACTTCTATATCACTTTTGAAAATGAATAGATAGATATATAGTACAAGCCTATTTTTAATAACAATCCTTGAGTTATCTCTAATAAATAATTTGGCTTAGCAAAAAAAAAAACCCTATTTCTAATAACCTTATTTTAGGATTTTAAGACTTGGAAAATTTTCATTAATAAAATAGGTCTCCATATTTTCAATTTGTTGCTATTTACAACCGTTTAATTTTATACTATATTTCGAATAATTGATTCAATAATTAAGGCATTTTTTTTCAAAAACCTAAATTCAAATTCATCCACTTATATATATTAACATAAAAAGCTGACATTTTGCTTATATTAAGTGAATTTACTGTGAATATGAAGTTCGGATAATCTATATATATTATATATATAATTTGTAAAAAAAAAAATAGAAGAGATTCTTGCCAGGTCAAAATCTCTGTTTTTCTTATAGCCAATGATATTGATGATTGGATAATGAAGTCCCATCGCAGCCCATGAATACTGAATTTGGTAATCTAATAATAATAAAAACAAAGTTAAAAACAAAGGGCTCTGATATCTCAAAACAAGTGACCTTTCAAAACAAGTGACCTTCCAAAACAAGTGACCTTTCATTCTCTTTTAACATTTTCTTCAAGAAGATAGCAACCTAAAAACATTATCATATTTCCTATATATAATATGTAATAATCAAAATGGATGTTTTATACTAAATATTTTTTCAAACTTATTTGTTTGACAACTTTGCTTAATTATGAACGAGTTATCCAATAGAAATTATCCATGATGCGACCATGGTTGCTAATCCACTTCTTGTGTTGACATGTGTTTTTAGGGACCCTGGGGTGATCATTTAATTGGTAAGGATGATACTCTTCGAGGAGATCTCCATTCGTAAGGTTTATAATCTATATTGAAATTAATTTATGATTAAAATTTAATATTTTTAATGTTAAATGAAATCGTAAACATTTTCACTATTTTTTAGATAAAGGAAAGGATCTTTTCCTGGCAACAACCATACTTAGTATATATTGTAGTTTTTGAAGATAACGTGAGACTAATGAGAAATATGTAAATTATTGAAAGTCATGCTATAATTTTATATATGAAAGAGATATTAACTATATATATATGCAATCAATCACCTTGAAAAAGAATATATTGGCAACCCTATTGTAGATGGATAAAAACAGTATAGTGCTTATAATTAATTTACCTCCCACCCAATTATAAAAGAACTTCTCACATGCATTGTCATGGTGTTTTCTTTGTATGCAAAAGAAGAGCTATCAAAATTTGACTCATTCAAAGGAAAAACTAGTGGATTCGATGAACCTATCAGTTTTTTATTTGTTTGAAGCTTCTCATTATATCACACCACACCCGCAAGCATTTGAAAGTTGAAACAT